AATTAAAAAGTTATTTTTGAAATTTACAAGAAAATTTTGTATAAATATTTTGCCTACACATAGTTATACAAAACATGTAGGTATATAAATGTACAAATAAATAATTTAAAAGTTCAGAATAATTTATGTAGTATTGTATGGGTGACCAACAATGTAGACTTGCAAATAATTCAAATTTATTGTTTAAATTTAGAGCAAATCTTAAAGAACATATTACCTACATATACGTATTATTTATATACGAAACGTTATTGAAGATTTTAATCAAAAAGATAAGTTTTTCCAATTAATTGTTGACTAATATCGACGTGGTGCTGTGAGATTTTAACAAAGAGCTTCTTTTCTTCCTTCTACGAGTATAATTCCCAGTTAATGACTAATAATTTCATTTAATTTCGAACTAAAATTGATTTAAAATTGATTAAGAGTTTTAATTTTATATTTACTATTACAAAAATTAGAAAGAAATGCCTAATATATACAAAATAAAAACTTAAATATTTCAAAATTTTATTCATATTATTCTTTAGGAAAACAGAAAATTTATATTAAAAGTTTAAAATATTGTTTTATTTTTGTAATTCCTTTCATTCATTTTTCCTCTTGAATTTACAATAATAACGCGCAATATTATTTTCATATTTTTAATTTTATTAAAAAGAATAACTTTATTATATTATGAAACATAAAATTATTTAAATATCTTCATCATCATCATTATAATCATCACAACCAACTCACCATTTTTTTTTTCTCTTTTAAACATTGTTCTTAAATTGTTTTCTTTTAGAATACGCAAGTATATTAAGCGATCTAAATTTTATGCTGATCCTCTGTAGTCCTATTAATAAAACATTATTTTTCTACACTTCTTGCCTTTGAATTTTAAATTCATCTGAGGATTTATAAAAAAAAAAAAAAATTAAAAGAAAATAAATAAGAATTTTTAAAGAGATTTGAAAGCTCAAAAGTAAAAATATTAAAAAAAAAAATTATTAATGCAAGAATATTCTTGATATTATATACATACATACATATATAAAATTTATTTTATAGAAACGGAACTTAGACTCTTAACCCGATTTTGTTAAATATTCCTTGTATTGTGATTCCTTATTGAGCGTGAAAACTTTTGTGATTCGTCGACCAAATTGCTTTTCTTAAATAAATAAAAAAAATTGTTATTTGTTATTTCAAAAAATTATATTATAGTCATTATAATCAATAAATTATATTATAAACAATGTAGTTTTTAAATTATAAGTACCGAGTTATCTAATGCAGAATATGAGATTCCCTTGTATATCGTAGAAGTATGATGTAGTAATGATTAACTGAGGAAAACCCATGTGTAGAACTAACTACCAAAATAAAACTATTTTCTCTTTGCTATATTTGAATTAAAAAATAACAGATATTAAGTGGCTTTTAACTAAATTCCTAAACTTTTAATAACTAAAATTATTGCATTCCTCTTAATTCTCTTATTTTAATTTTATATTCTTAACCACTAGACAATCAGCAATTTCTTCAAAATCTTGTTCTTTTTTTCTTGTTTTAATTTTTCATTTTATTTCTTTCATTTGAAATAACTTTATTTATGTCAAGTGAATTGAGAAGAGAAAACACTATAACACAAGAGGAAAACCAAAAACAATAATAAAAAAAATAAATAAAAGTTTTCTTATCCTTGTTTCATTATATTATCTTTAAATGAGTTTAATCAAGAAGACACGCACAACAGTGACAAAATTTTTCATTTCCGTTCTCGCATACACGATTATAAAGGTATTCATACATTCTTGGTCTCCACTATACTCCATCTCTGTAATTACAAGTATGCTACAATTTCCAACTTGATAAAAACAAAAATTTGATATAGAAAAAAAAAATTACCAAAAAAAAACTGGAAAGAAAAATCACAATCATTTATTTACATAATATAACCGTTACATATTGTTTGTTGTGTTTATTTTGAAAAAGGACACCACCTCTAAACTTTTCATCATTTTCTTAAATTTTTTTACATATTTTTTCGAAACAAAAGAAATATAAAACCTTGAAATTAAAATAAAACCAAAGGAATTTTCTTTTTTTGTGATTCGATATTGTAATGAGTGTTAAAATAAAAAAAAGTAAATGTATCCTTGAAGGAACTTCATGAAATTCAGTAATAAAAAGTTTGTAATATTTTGTATACGGTTATAAAAATTCATAAAAGAAGAAAACAATATATTTGTCACGAAGATGACAAAATTTTCAATACCACATACAAACAAACGGAACAATATCAAAAGAAGTTAGGCGCATAATTAAGATATAAGTTCAAAAATTTGCAGTAAAATAATTCTCCAATATTCTTTCAGTATTCTAATTTTAAATGGGATAGTTAAAGTTTGAGCCAATTAAAAATTTAGAATCTTGCGATTTGTTTATAAGCGCACTATAACTTATCAGATCACTCAACCCATTTAGTTAACCAATCATGTATTTAGCGTCTTTAGCGCCTGAGCTTGTTCAGTAGTATAGTACTGAAATTAATAAAGTTAGCGTAGGACACTACACAATACCAATTAAAAAAATAAATAAATTTCGTTCAATATCTTTTAATTGTTGATTCAAATTCCAATGTTTAAAGTAATTATTACTTATTTTTTTGGTTGACTAACGAAAATTTTCAAAATGATTTTGAATTTTAATCACCATAGTCAAATAGTTATAGTACAAATTTCAGTCGATCTTATTTCACTACACCTTGAATATGTTTGACAAAACCAAAAAAGAAAATTATATTGTGAAACAAAAAGTAAATAAAATAAAATAATAACAAACATAATGATTGAAACCAATCGTAAGTTTAGAGAAAATTTTACAATAAAAACAAAATAAAATAAAAAAAGGAATTTTTTTTTTCAAAGTAAACCAAAAATATATGAAAAAGTAAAAACAATTTACATAAATTCGCTTTAGGGGAATTTTAGTTGATCCCCAAAATGTAAAAAAAAATTTTAACAGCAACAAAATTAGTAATAAAAATACTAAAATTTTATTATCTCTTCTCACTAAGGATTAATTTTCTTTTAAATATTTCAAAAGTTTGAAGTACGGTACGATACATACTCAGTTTTCCTTAGTTTTCTATTCCTGTTCCGTTTCCCCTTCCATTTTATTTTTGTTTTAAGGGCGAAATTTGAATGCAGTTTCTTTGACTTTTTTTTTTATTTCACTGCTCTCCTCATTCAGTTTTTATTATTTCCTTTTTAAAGAAACCAACTTAATACTTTGCGGTTCAAATGGCAATATCATTCAGCATACATAACATAAGAATTAGGTTGAAAAAATTTGATAAGATACGTTATAAGTTCTACATACTGTAAAAAAAAAACACATTTTTATACGTGTACATATGTATGTACTTACAATTAAGCGAAATAGGAATTAATACATTATATTAAGATTATAGTTGGAATTCATCCTTCCAATTAAGCATTGAGACGAGAAAAAAAACGAATTCCTAAAAAAATTTTCTCCTTTTATGTTTAACTTATTGAAACAAAATCCATTATAAGAAAAATATACACATGAGATACACATACATACGCATATTTTTTAAGAAACACAATCTAAAAATATTTGTACCCAGTTTAAATTTCCGAAAGCACAGTGCGTCATTAACTAAAACCAAGACAAGTTCTTAAAATCGCCTTCTTTCTATACATTTTTGTATATACTTAGGTAGATACTTAACCTGTAATCCCGAAATTCCTGTAATGTGTATACAAAAACTTAAAAAAAAATTGTAGTCTTCCTTAAAAAACTTAAATTACTGTAGTCTTCCTTCAATTAGTTTCAGTAAAATATTTAGTTTCAGTAAACAGTATGCGTATACATAGGAACACAGATTAATTTAACTGCTCTTGCCATAAAGGTTAATCTAAGGTTGAAATCATTTTCACAGCTGATGCAAATTATAACCGCAGTAGCAATGCTTTTAAACTTGTATTTCTACAAAAATTGTGATTGGGAAATGCTGATAATCAAATAATCTGTGACATCTTTTTTCATAATTATATTGTTCAATTTTTAATTCTTTCGCTCCCGGAATTTACCTCAAGATTAGGAACACATGTACATACATATGCATGTTTCATATTTTCTTTTTAATTATTCGAATAAATTTATGTCACTATTACAAATTATCTCATATAGTGCTTAGCTTATAATATAAATTCATAATTTAGTTCTAAAATTTGCACTTTGTTTAAATTGGAGTAGTAAAATTCAAAAATTGAAACTTCTTCCATATTTATCCTAACCCTACATACATAACATGGCTGACACAAATACGGCTGATTTTTTGTAATCTCAAGCTACATACGTTTCGGCAATAGCGTTTCTGAAAAATGAACATGTATGTACTCAGGTACAATATCGCAAATTTGCTACAACACTGACATAATCAAAATTTACCATTTGAATAATTTAAAAATTTAAGAGCAATAATTAAGATTAAAATGATATAATATTTTTCTCATTACAGAGAAAAATTTTTGAGCAAAACAAAAAAAATGTTTTTGCGCAAAAAATTGTTTAAGCGCTTATTCTGTTTAAATAACTCAAAAACTTTATTTCTTGAGGTATATCACTGTTGCAGGAAATAAGTGAAAAATAAAAGAAACATTGTCCCAACAGAAACACTAATGAAATATGACACGGCATAAACACAACCCTGTTCTATACACTGCCCATATAAAAATTTCGTTTTGAATGTAAACTTTTCTGAAAAATTTCAATAATTTTTCAAACAAAATTAATATTGTTCGTTAATATTTTTAATCTTTAAATCTGTAAGATTTTGCAATAGATGGCGCTTCTGAACTTTACGAAACTTTTAATAAGACAAAAACGACATTATTTGAAACTTCAAGATGTTTCTTCTGACGTTTCTTTATTTTTGTTTAGATTAATTTCATTTTAACTTTTTCTTATACACGTGCGACTGGACCAGTATAAATTTTTATGAAGTTATATTTTTAAGTAGATATTTTCAATTATTCTGTACATATATTTAAACTCACCATTAGTATATTTGATTTAAAATGGTACGAAGAATAAAAGATTTCATCCGTTACACAGCAGCTGAATTAGAAAATTACACAAAATCAAAAAATTCATGTGTTAAAAAAATAAATAAAAGATTGCATTTAAACTTTCCACCGTATGGTTTGACATCTTTTAAAGCTACTTTATTAAAATTAATATCAGAGAAAAAAATCGGATCATATGATACGGATTTAGATGGAATTATATTGGATATTAGAAATATTAAAGTTTTAGGTGATATTGGAGCAATAAGATTTGATGATTCATTTATTCACATAAATATACAAGCTGATTGCTACGTGTTCCAACCAAAAGTTGGTTCTGTTGTTCAAGGATTAGTCAAACATATATCACAACGACAAATAGGTGTAATAATTTACAGGGTTTTCAGTGTACCAATACGATTGTCGGATACTGTAAATAAATCGTCAATAGCATTGAATTCTGAAATAGAATTTCGAATTAAAAATTTTGATTTACAAAATACAATGCCATATATTGAAGGTGAACTTATGGCTAAGGAAGTATCTATTAAAAAAGCTAAAAATTCTATCAAGTTTGCAGATGATGATAGTAATGAAGAAATCGAAGATAATGAAAATAGTTTATTCAAAAAACCTAATCAAAAGAAAGTGAAAAAAGAAAAAAAAAGTGCTTGTGAAATACTTGCAGACAGCGAAAATGAGGAAATTGTTTTTTCTGAACTTTCCTACCTAAATGAAGAGGAAGCAAGGAAACTTAAAGAACCAAAAAAGCGAGTATGTAATTATGTTAATCATAAAATAATAAATTTGGTAAAATTTTTGTGCTTTTTAGAAAAAATTAAACTCTGAATCATTTAGTTCCGATATTACTGCGAAGCAAAATAATTCTCCCAAACATGATTCGAAAAAAACTGTTAGGTTTGAAGATGCTTCAAATAGTTCATCATCTGAAAGTGATGGAAAAAATATTACTTCATCTAATATTTTGAAACAAAAAGTAAGATGTTCAATTTTTACAGGATATTTTTATAATTTTTGTTTAAATGCACAAATTTTTGTAATTCAAAACAATAGATTTATATCTGAAATTTGTTTTTAGGAAAGCCAAAACATAAAATCGGATCACTATGAAAAAGATGAAGCAGATGTTGTCAATTCTAAACTCGTATCGGGGGAACAAAAAAAACACAATAAGACAAGTGACTCATCTTCAGAATCCGACAATGAGTATTCTTATAAAGACAATAAAAATACACAAAACAAAATTCAAAATATTGAAAAACCTGTCACTAAAATTAACGGGATTGGGACCGCTTATACCAGTTCATCGGATGTAGAAGGTGATAAAAATAATGTACTGAATGAAATAAAAAGTGTAAAAGAAGATTCCGCTGATCTTGTACCTAATACCGAAAAGAAACCTCTAATTAATTTAGACGACAGTACTGATTCAGACAATCAAAATGAATTTCCTCTTCATACAATTTCGCATAAAGAACATATTGCGCATACTAGTATCAAAAGAGAATATGAATCTGACGATGAAAAGTTCATTCAATCAATTTACCAAGAAAGCAATGATAAAACCAATTCCTTTAAGATTGAATCTACAACGCCAGTTAAAAAAAATCAGCAAGTAAAATCGGAAATCAAGACTGAAGTCGAAACTCCAATCAAAATGAATGGTTATGAAAGTGAAGATCTATTTAATGAACATTTAGAAAACTCTATTCCTTCAAACCAAAATGTCAATACGGTTTCAAAAAGAAAAAAAGAACGTAAAATAAGTTTAACTCAAGAAATGAATGCTGTTTTGGCTAATACTATACTACAACGCAAAATAGTAGAATTGTCACCTGCATATTCAACCCAAAAGGAAATTCCTGAGCGTAGTGATAAATCTTCGGTTAAATCAGCATCAGATACTAGTTTTAACGAGGCGTTTAAAGAAATTTTAGAGAAATCAAAGAGGAAAAAACTTAGTGAATCAGAAAGTAGCAATTTTGGATTAGAAATTTCAGTAACAAAGACAAATCTATTGAACGATGTGAGTAAATCTACGAAAAAAAATAAATTACAGAAAAAAGAGAAAAAAAATAGTTTGGAAAACTCAATGGCAGAAATTTTAAAAAGTTCTATGGAAAACAAGCTCAAAGAAATGAAATCGAGTCAAGAACTTTGTAGTCCATTAATAATTCAAGCAAACAATGATAAGAACACAAAAGAGATTAGCAAAAAAAAATCTAGAAAACGTAAAATAAGTTTAAATGAATCGATAAATGATGTTTTAACAAAAATGATAAAGGAAAAATCAAATAAAAATACATTTGGCTCTCCATCAAAGAAAATTAAAGTTGATTCTTTATAAATTAAACAAATTTGAGTAAATTTAATTGCGAATAGAATCATAAGACGATCATTGTTAAATAATTATTTGTATATTCAAGTATGAATAAAGTTTTAAAATTTTATTTTTAACACGTTCTTTTGTTTAACTTTATTTTGGCATTTTTAATATTTAAGACAGAGTTTTAATGTTAGTTTTCTGGTGCCCATAATTTAAGCGTTCTATCATAAGACGTTGTAACAATATATTGTGAATTCGGTGATATGTCTACAGCCATTACCTTACCATCATGACCTTGCAGCGTTTTCAGAGGTTGCCACGTTTTATTGGACCACAACTAAAATATTTAACATACGTTGATAAAGCAAAAAAAAGCGAGATCTATTTAATTTACTTTTGTTGTATTATCGTAGCTTCCTGTAACAAGAAAGTTTCCACCATCTTTTTGATATTTAACATCCGATATTAAATTTGTATGTGCAGGTATAGTATAAACATGTTGTCGTTTTCTCAGATCCCAAATCTAAATATATTATAGTATTAACTACATATATGTATGTTTTACAAGGCAAAGGGTAACTTACCTTACAAGTGTTATCACAACTACCGGTAACAATATGATAACCGTTTGGAGAGAAGTCAACACCGTATATATTTCCTAAATGACCTTCCAGAAACATAATGCACCTACCAGTTCTTAAATCCCAAACTCTACCAAATGCATCTAATCCACTAAAATTAGAATATAATATTTCAGCAATTATCCATTTATTTTTTAATTTATTTTAATATTATTACCCTGTAACAATAACACTACCATCGCACTGAAATGCTAAACAATGAACTGACTTCGCATGACCTTCTTGATGTAAAACTTCTTGTTTTTGATGTAAATCCCATAAGCGCCATGAAGAATCATAGCAGGCAGTTGCCAGAAATCTACCAGAAGGATGAAATTTTACTTTTGAAACTCTAGACGGCATATGACCAGTTATATCCGCTATAGATTCTTCACTTCCGTATGACCATAATTTCACAGCACCATCATGACCACCACTAGCCATAGAACATTCATTTTTTTCATCAAAATAAACACCAGGTCGAAAGCAAACACCGCCCACATAAGCCACATGACCTCGCAATACTTGTAACTCTTTACATTCAGGTACGGACCATAATTTACATAATCCACTCCAACTTGAGGTTAATAATAATTTTGAATCGTCACTAAATGTGCAATCACTAACTGGTCTTGTATCACCAACTTGACTGCATAATGGAACTAAAGATTGTATTCTTTTTTGCAGTTCCACCATACGACCAGCTTTGGTTGCAGCTGGTAATTCAGCTTGCTGTTTCGCTAATTCTAGTCTATTTTTTGCTCTTGGCAATGAATAATCTGCTATCCATAGCCTAGCTAATCTTAATGCGTCTGGTCCTTCGTGATACCAAGTTGTTTCTTGTTCTTTTTGTAATTGCTTTCTTTCTTCTTCTTCATGTTGCTTTTGTTTTATAGCATTTTCACCCAAACTGGCTAATAAGTCCTTTAAACGTCGTCTGCGTTCGGCAGGACCCTCACCAAAAAAACAAATTGGTTCATTTAACTGCCGAAGGTTTTTCTTAACTTCATTATCATCAGTACTGACATTAATTTGACGTGCACGTTTTTTCCGTTCGAACTCTTCTAATAAAGCTTGCTTATCTTTTGATCTAAAATTTAATAAAAATATATTTAAATTGCATAATAAAAAATAAAACAAAATAAAACCTACATCTCATTTTCTATGTCAAAATAATCGTTCGAAACTTGAACATTTCCAATAGTAGTTGTATTTAGTGAAGCCGGAATATTTGCTGCTAACATTGGCTTTTTCGCTTCTGGAGGGCCAAAATCATCATCAGAATCAATATTTTCTAAAGCTTGTTTTTTCCTTTCACTCTCTTCCAACGATCCATAATGGATTGTTTTATTTCTTTTCATGTATTGTAGCTCTTCATCATCAGACATTTTTTTTTTAATTAAAGATTTATTACAAAAAAAAAATAAAAAAAAAAATATTCTAATTATTTTGTTTGTTCTTTGTTGATTGTTTACAATTTTAAAACGTTTTTAAGGTTATGTCAGTTTTAAAAAATTGACGTTAATTACTTTTGACATTATTGTCAAAATATTTTAAGCCGTGTTAACGTAAAAAAATAATTTCTTAAACCTTAAAACGCAGAAAGTGCAGAAGCGTTAGCGACATTATGTACATACAAAGACTAATATTTATGTCAAAATTTGAAAATACCATTTATTAAACAAACAAATTTTGAAATATTGTAAGAACTTTTACTTTATCCAATTCCAGACTATTTAAACCTTAAAAAATGGATATCTACCAAAAATTGAGATAAATCTAAAAATGATCAAGATGCAAATTTTAAAATGAATATTGAAGAAGTTCATTTTTGAACAATAATAACAAAGAAGCTGAAATCGGTCATAATGGAAATATTTTAACATATAGAATTGAAGAATTGAATGAATTAGAACTCTCGAGCATAATTTTGTAAATTTTAACAGATCACAATTATAATGAGAATCTTAATAGTTTTGTATCCCATATACAAAAATAAATAATGCCAATGTGGACAATTTCATGAAACATGTGTTTCTTAAATACAAACTATGTTTATTAAATAATTATTTTTTTTAATACCCAAACATATTCAATAACAAAAGTTATGCTTGATATAAAATTACTTTTATTCTGTAGAAACTATATGCCTCATTTGTCTGATTGCCGTTACCAATCTTGGTTCACATCCTGAACTAGTAGATAAATAATTTTCTGGTGAAGCTCTTAACAATAAAGCAATCTGCTGCAGTTGCGACGTAGTATTAGAACCCAATTCTTCTAATACATTACCAAGATATTCTTAAAATTATAAAATTTAGATTTAATAAGTAATTAAAATTTTTATCAAATATTTCTTATACCAATATCAATAGCAATCTGTTTGGCTGCTTTATTATTCACAGATTTCATTTGAAGAATTTGATTTTGATATAAAACACAACATTCTTCAACAACCAATGCTAAAAGAATATCTGCGCTTGGAATGTTCTCGTGATATCTTTTATCACATATTTCTAATGAAAATTTAAGTGCAGCAGTAGGAGACAACAGTAATGGTTCCAAGTGTTGAGGAAGAGTTAATAAATACTGTCCAACCTAAAAGATTTGATTGATATAAGTTTCTTTTCTTTTTAGAAATAACACGGTACTTCTTACTTGAGTTATAAATTCTTGTGGAGAAAAACTATAATCGGGTAAATCAATTGAACCTGTTGATACACCACCTGTTGTTTCATCTGGATGAATATTTCGCATTTGAATTTCAATAGGTGTGAAAACAATAGATAATGTTGTATCATGAATATCATCAGATACTGGTTTAATAGCTTCAAAGACATTATCGAATAATATAAAATAACCATCACTTTCAACCAAAATATTTTCTTTTCCAGTTTTTATTTTTTCATTCATCTTTTTCAATTCATTCACATAACGTTTCTCTAATAAACGATAACCAAATATATTTTTGGGAGAATTTTTATGTATATCATAAGTTTGTAAAATTTTATCCTCCAGTGAAGATTCAAATTTTTGAAGAGCAACACAAAATTCACCAAAATTTTGTAATAATGATATGCAATTTTGTAACAAAGACCAATTTTGTTCAACAGTTCTATGTGCAGCTAATTGCTGTTGAGCTCTTTTGTATTTCTGTACAAAATTTTTGAAAATAGACTGAAAGAAAAATATTTCTGTAAGATTTACAAACAATTTACACGAAAAACCTTACAGTTAAAACATTTGTTAAAGGACATATTGCACAATTTTGGGTGATGCTTTCACAACGTTTAACAGCATCATCAGCCCATTCAAATATTTTTTTATTAGCATTACCTAAAGATCGAATAGTTTCAGCAGGTATCGTTTGATGAGTTTGATTTAAGGAATTCAATAATTGTGATAAATAAGTTTGTTCCATTGAAGAATATTGAATTATAAATGTATTAAAATAATCAAATATTGCACGTGATAGAGTTTCTTGTTGAATAAATTCTGGATTATCTAAAAATATTCAATAAGTTAATATTACAATTATAAATTTAGACTAATGTTTTTACAAGTGTTTTCAAAATGATTTTTTAATAGAACACCAAAATGAATATTTGCATTTGATAATTCTTTAAGAACTTCTAGTTTATCATTGGATTGCTTTAAAGCTTCTAATACCGTAGTTTCTCTAGTTGGTTGTAATTCCGGTAAAATTTCAGTTAATATAAGTAACGGTTGATCGTATCCATCAATTTCGAATACTTGACTAACCCATTTAAACTGCAAAAAAATTTTGTTGAGAAAAGTAGATTCGAAAAAAAAATAAATACAAACTTGTTTTTGATAACTTTCTGCAAGAAATTCATAAAAATCATTCATAAATCTACTGGAATTCACTGACAAACCCAAAATTTCATTCCAATGTTGCTGCAAAGTTGTTTTCTGTACTGTTCTATAATATTGTAATAATTGTGACATACGATCCATTTTTTTAAATATATCAACAAATTTTCTTGATTGTTCAATATCACCAGTTGAAAATGATTGAACAATTGCTGGACTAGCTAATGCCTCCAATCGATTTTTAAAACCTTCAACTTGGGATTCTCTTTCATTTTGACCGGGTAATTTCTCTTGTGCTTGTAATGATTTCTGCAAGCTACTTAATTTTTCACTAATTTTAAATAAATCATTCTTTTCAAATAACTCTTCAAGTTCAGTTAATAGTTTTCCCCAGCCATCAGATTCTTCTAACCCTTCTTTTGTTGCTTGTAATTTTTGTATTGTTTCATCTAATTTCTTTAATTCTTCTATACAAACGTTATTTTGTACTGGGACTTCTAAATTTGCGACAAGTTCATTAATTTGCTTTTTTAAATTTTTCACTTCAATTTTTAAATTATTTGTATCTTTAATCATTTGTGGCATTTCATTTATAATTTGATTTGCTGACTCTTCAAGTGAAGCATTTATTTCCTCCGAATATGATTCTAATTTTTCAATTAAATCATCTAAGAATTCCTTAAGTAATATCATGAATTTAATTAAATTTCTAGATCATTTTTAAAATTTTATACCAAAATTACATAAGGCAGTTAGTTACCTACTTCTTTATCATCTCTCTTATCCGAATTCCTATACATTGAATCAACCCATTCGAACATATCAAAGTTGTCATCTGCAAAGGCTTCAAACATTGAATAATCCTGAAATCAAAATTTATGCGATAATCTTTGATATTTTAGCACATTCAATAAATTTGCAATTTTTTCCTATATTTACCATTTTGTCTTGAAATATTTTTTCAAATATTTGAAATTGTATCTTTTTTCCTAAAAACCTGAGTAATTTATTTCATCCGGAATGATTTTTATGTGATGGACTCGATGGACTGCACTTTAAGAACCTTTTTTGTGACAGCAAAGCAATTTTCAAAGTAAATAAAATAAACATAGATATCTGTCATTGTATTTAAGTAGTTGTTGACAGTATAGAAGTTCTAAAAATTATTAACATAACACGTAGCCATCTAGTGTCAGATAAAATCTTTAGATATTATTTATATAATTCATAATTTCAAAATATATAATGACAGCACTGAACTATTTTAAAACAAAACGATTTGACAAATCAAAATTATTTATTTTGTTTGCTGGCTGATTGGAAGCAGAAAAAACACGCAATTATTTAAAATAGATAATAAAAAAGCAATCTAAAATATTTATTTTTTATAGAAATATAATTATATTTTGATAATAAATTTAAGTTAAGCTAGAGATGAAATTGAAGCATTATGTAGATACAGGTAAAAAATGTACCAAAGCTAAACAGATTAAAGACACCAAAACAAGGAGGACAATTTAAAAACAATTGTGGAAACTAAAATATTCGAAAATCGTTAATTTTTCAAAATTACAACAGCTATACAATAAAACAATTTTATACAATAAAATACAACTAGTGGTCCCACTGAGAATGGTCCGGCCACCAGTTCTTTCATAATCAGTGCTCTCACCACTAGCAGCAGTTGAACGCACCGAAAGCCGAAAGCGTATATGTTAGAATTTTTTTAAATCAGAATAAATATTGTTTTAAAGAAACTTGTATTGATATAACATTATTTTTACAAATTAACGAAACAAACGAACTAATTGTAAAAAATTAAAACACTAGAATTATTAGCAAATGCCCTGGAAAAATACAAAAACCCTTAGTAATAATAAATAATAAACAAAAAGCATAAAAAAATGAGTTATTTTTTAAAATTTGTGTATAGTTAATTATAATTACAACTAACGTAATCCTAATCTATACGATAAATTATATTTACACAAATTTAAAACTAACTACATACTATACAATAAAAAATATTCACAAGCTTGAAACTGGCTTACTTACTTACGGACTATATTAATAAATTTCGAGAGCAGCGAACCGTTTACTGGATGAAAATGGAAAATAAGTGAATTACAAGCAATGGGAATTAAGTAAAAAGGGATTAATTAAACAACGTAGGTGACAGCTTTAAGAAAAAACATTGTATTGGAGGTTTGGGGATCATAAGCTTGGATCATTTTTTTCAGCTTTTTTGCTAAAATGAGCTTTTTCTTATTTGAAGGTGGTGATGGATTATGGAATTTTGTTCGCGTATACTCCATTTCTTTGTGCAGGGTCACTAGGAATTGAAAAAGAGGCCGCTTTCGCAAACCAAAACTATAAGTTAATCCATTATGCCACCCTTCAATGAAATTTGTAGCTTTTGGAATTCCTTCTAAAACTGATTGTCTATGATTCCAAAAACTTGGAGGAAAAAGACCACCAGACATAAACGTTTCATGAAAATACTTTACGAACCTTTTGCAGGCAACTTGCCCTGCAATTTCTTTGGAAACTGCCTCATATCCCTTTTTGACGTCATCTAGAGGCAGCATTGATAATGCAAAGAACAATTTAATGTTTTTGCGAAATTGAGGGTCTTTTTCGTATTTTGTTTTCAAAGCGTATCTTTGAAGAGATTTTATAATTGCTTGTTTAAAATGGAAAAAGCAACCCAGTAATCGGCTTTCTGGGAAAACGGCTTGAAAAGCATTGATTGCCGCGCTCTCGAAATTTACTAATACAACCCGACTTCTATTACTAATGTTAAATTTTTCTTTTGTTACTTGAAGAAATTTGGTGTACATTTCAACCGTCTTACCAGTTAGCAGGCCGAAAACTGCCGCATGTGCTGCACCATTTTTTACAAAGTGCAGCACATACAACTGGTAAAACGGTGTAGGTGTAGCAGTATAAATCCCTTCAGCCATCCAAATATCGGATGACTCTAAGGCGGCACCCATCTCTTTATGTCCAAAAATAAGTACCCTGTTTTCTTCTGACATACCTGAATCATACAACATATGTTCTACGAGATCTTCAGGCATGCCGGAAGAATTTTTTTTATAATATTTGTTGAAGTGCCGCCTTAGAGTTTGTTTTAAACTTTCTTCTGACGGAAGACGAGACATCTCCTCTAACGGCATTTCAAATATCACATCCCTAATCACCTGACAATAAGAAAAAAATTGTTTTCAATATTATTATATTATAATATGCCGTTTAGTATAACTTACAGAACTTGTGGTGGTCGACGAAAGTATAATACCATTTTTCATTTTATTTATTGCTTCTTCAACCACCGCATTATCCATGCTAGGGCTATCGTGATTATGCTCGGCTCCTTTGTCTATTCTTCCATTTTTAAAAACGTTTATAAATGCAGGGCATTTTTCTTTGTGGAAAGATCTGCATTTATATGTATCGTAGAAAATGTTGTGTCTAAAAAATAAAATTTGCATTATCTTGATACAGAACATAATACTACAACTCGTACCTTTTAAATATGAACTCAAATTGTTCGTGTTGAATAATCCGCCGGCCTTTAGTGGTTAACTTGTTAAACTAAAAAAATATATTTTAAATATTTAAAAGAAGTTATTATTGAACATAAAAGAAGTAAAGAAATATACTTACACTTTTAGAACTGGAATTTGATGTCATTATTCTGAAGGAAATAAACATAATTCGATTAGATTTAAATTTAAAATATAAAAATATTAGATTTTTAAAATAGTGTAATACCTCACTTAAAATCGTTTTTGGGACCGAAAATTTACAATTAAATAAGTGAAACGATTTAATATCTCATTTTTGTAAAGAAAATTAAATCCTCATTGTGAATTTTCAGGAGACTCATTTTTACAAAAAAAAAATTTTAAAAAGTTTAAATCTTTTAACGAGGAGAAAATGGTATTAGAATCTCAGAGACTTATTTAGATCGTGGTGATTTTATACGGGAAAGGTGAGATTGCTGTATTACGCACTATTTAAAAAATTTATAAAAAAATAAATAGTAAATGCTAATATTACTTACCTTTTATTAATATTGTACTAAAAAAATAAGTTTTTGTGTGAATAAACTGAAAAATATTGTTTATTGTGTTCTTTTTATAATTTTAATAGTTTTTTTGTTTTTTATTAAAAAAATTGTTTTTAACTCTCTAATTTTATAGTTTTTTGTTATTAACTGTTTAATAGTTTTCTATATTGGCAAATTCTATATATTTTTTCTTTTTCAAAAACTTTTATAATTTTTTTTTTTTAAATTTCTGTCAAACCTATTTCTTCGTTTAATAAATTAATATCATTTAAATTTTAAAAGATGACACTTTCTGCTTGAAGGCATAAACCGAAAAAGGGGTAGTGTTTTTGTTTTTTTCTTTAGTCGAAAATAGAGAAATATTTAAACTGAGTAAATTAAACACATGCTTTAAATGAGAGAATAAATTCATAAGACATAAATAAATCAAATATGCGTATAAGCAGTGTTACCAACTGTTTTTTGCTAAAATTACCACATTTAGTTGAAAAATTGCCATTTTTTCCCCCTACCAAACCTTATTTTTCACATATAAATACCCTTTAAGGAAGTTTTTACCTACACCCATACATCTACACTCATTGTACTTAAATAAAATACGTATTTGATAATTTTTTCAATTGCATAACTAAATAATGATAACTTACAACAGATATTTTCAAATATAAGTAAAGCTACATCAGTTTAAGAACTTCAAAATAAATAATAGGATTTTTTATTTTTCATCAAAAGTAAAAGATGCATTTGGTCAAAAGTAAAAAGAGAAACTGAAATAAAAAAAAAAATATAATAAAATGAAAAGATTTCCCACGTTTTTTGGCATATTTCCCATCGAGGCTTCAATATTCTCTTAAAATAGGAAATTTCCCACAATTTGGCAACTCTGCATGTAATTCAATTTAATTTATCAAAAACTATGTATAAATGTGACTCACATAACCTATGTATGTATGTATTTTTTCAAAGTTCATTATTGTCGTTATTTTTATTTTGTTTTGCTTTTAAAGAAGAAAAGAAACTTAAACAAAAAAAAAACATTTAGATCCTTGTAAAAATTCTATTACTTATATGATTCAAGGAGTAGGTATGGAACAGTGCTTCCAAAAGAGGTCCATGTTGTCCACCAGGGGTGCCTGAAGATCTGCTAGGGTCTACGAAGGTGGAAAAAAAATTTTTGGGGGAAAACGAAATGAAAAATAAATATGTGATAATATTGACGAAAAAGCAAGTGATTTGTATAAAATTGAATTTATTTTTTGTTTAGATTCCTTTTTTTTAATTTAAATTTTATAATTAAATTATTTAAATTTAATAACTTTATTTTTTTTGTATGAAAATGGCCTTATTTTTAAAAGAGGTTGTTACTCTTGGAATGTGCACATTATTGCCGTAAGGGGTGTTTTTCCAATGCAAATTGGGTAGTTTACGTGCATTTTGCTTGTGCCGCAACCGACTCGACGAAGTGTATGCGACTCAAACGGACCAAGTGTATGAATGCGACTGATTTCATCCTACATGATTTTTATGTGATACACTATTTATTCGCTATATTATTATCATGATAGTAAAGCAATTATTAAAGTCAATAATATAAAAATAAAATAATAATACAGAGACATCTATCATTCGATTTTAGTAGTTGTTGACAATATAGAAGTTCTAAAAATGCTTAATATAATACATAGCCATCTCGTGTCAGATAATATTTTTAAATATGAATTATATATGTATGTATTATAACTTTGAAATGTATAAAGGCAGCACTGAACTATTTCGAAACAAAACGATTTTACAAATCAAAATTAATATTTTGTTTGCTGGCTAATTGGAAGCAGAAAAAAGACGCAATTATTCAAATATAAAAATTAAAAAAAACAATCTGGAATAATTATTTTGATAAGAAATTTAAGTTAAGCTAAAGATGAAATGGAAGCATTATATAGGTAAAGGTAAAAAATCTACTAATGTAAAACAGATTAAAGACACCGAAACAAGGAAGGACAATTTAAAAACAATTATGAAAACTAAAAAGATTCAAAATCGTTCATTAAATACAAGAAGGTAATTTTTCAAAATTCCAATTCAATAAAATAAATCAAAATCCATAATTTCGGTTTATTAAGGTTTATTAAGGTTTATTAATAATACCATTAAGGAAAATGTAAGATTATCTTGTAATTTAAAAAGTAGAGTAAAAAATCCAAATGAATCATCTGGTAAAATTAATGATGACCCGAGCCTCAAGTAAGTTTAGAATTTCTTCAATATTTCGAAAATAAATAATTTTATATATTTATACATAACAAAGTGCATCGCGATCAACTTCAGCCGTCCCATCGCCAGTGGTCCAACTGCCAGTAGTCCCACCGCGAGTGGTCCCACTGCTGGCGGTTCCACCACGAACGATCCCACCGCCAGTGGTCCAGCCACCAGTTCCCTCATCATCAGTGCTCTTACCGCTAACAGAAGTTGAAAGCACCGAAAGCCGAATGCGTGGATGGCAGACTTTTTTTCAAGCTATGTTAGATTTGTGTACTAATGTATGTATACTACAGAATAAATATTATTTTAAAGAAACTTGTATTGATATAACATTTTTTTTACAGATTAACGAAGCAGACGAACTAAATCTTAAAATCAAAATAATAGAAATATTATATAATGCGCTGCAAAAATACGAAAACCTTCAGTAGTAATAAATAAACAAAAAGCATAAACAACGAGTTTTATTTTTTTTTAAACTTATTACATTTTTAATTAATCATATTTACAATTAACGTAAAACTTAGTTTAAAACTAGCTTACTAACAGGAAACCGGAAAAAATTTGGAGAGCAATAGACCGCGTGGTAGGCTGAAAAATAAATTACAAGCAATGAGATGGATTCGTAAAAGAATTGGTAAAAGGCGATAAATTAAGCAACATTATGAAAAGACATTGTATTGGAGGTTTGGGAATAATCTTGGATCACTTTTCTAAGCTTTTTTGCTGAGATAACGCCCGTAAGTTAATCCACTATCCTTCAATGAAATTTGTACCAAAATCTATGCGAGTTTTTAGATATCTAAACATATTTGATAAATTTGCAATTTTTTCCTATATTTATCATTTTGACTTGAAATATCTTTCAAAAATTCGATATTGTATCTTTTTTCCTGTAGACCTAAATAGTTCATTTCACCAGGAAAGTTTTTTATGTGAAGCACTTTATAATGGTTAAAGCAAAGCAGTTTTTAAAATAAATAAAATAGTGACACAGATGTCCCTGTACATTGTGTTTTAGTAGTTGTTGACAGTATAGGAGTTTTTAACTAGTTACAGAGCCATCTTGTGTAAGATATTATTTTTAAATATTATTAATATACTATAATTTAAAAATGTATAATGGCAGCACCGAAATATTTCAAAACAAAACGATTTGACAAATCAAAATTATTATTTTGTTTGCTGATTGGAAGCAGAAAAAAGACGCATTTTTATTTTTTAATTATTTTATTGAAATATTCAGATTTATTTGAGACGCATATTTATTTTAGAAATTTAAAAAGCAGTAGTATATATATTTTGTACAGAAATAGTTTTATATTTTGATAAATTTAACTTAAAATGCCAGAGATGAAATTGAGACAATATGTGGGTAAACGTAAAAAATCTACTAATGTAAAACAGGATAAAGACACCAAAACAAGGAAGGATAAGTTAAAAACAATTGTGGAAACTAAAAAGTTTCGAAATCATAATGATGCTGAAGATGATAGCCTGATAATGATTGTAAAAAATAAGACGTTAGACGATAGCATTTGGAAAGATTCTTTTGATCGTTTCATAGATACAAGAAGGTATTATACAATTTTTCAAAATTGCAGCAACTATACAATAAAATAAATCAAAATTCATAATTTCAGTCCATTAAGGAAAAATAATATCATTAAGAAAAATGTAAGATTATCTTACAATTTAGATAGTAGTGTAAATAATTCAAATGAATCATCTGATAAAATTAATGTTGACCCAAATTCAAATACAAAACGAAATCAAAACGATAGCAATTCATTTTTAAATAAGACACCAATTTTTAAAAGGAAATCATTTTTAAAACGATTTGACGATATTATGAATAAGAATAATAGGGGAAATAGGAACAGATTAATTAATCATGTTAAAAAATCAACAATATCTTCAACACCATTAAATAATAAAATGGGCAGACAATGTAATAAAAGACGAAATTTGAGATCAACTAAAACACAATTAAATAAAAATGATTCATTATTTATGCATACGATTTCACCAATTCAAAAAGAAGATTCACCATCACTCCAATATGATGAATTATTACTTAAAACAATTACAAGTAGTGAGAAGAAACGAATTTGGAAAAATGATTTTAGAATAGATTTATCAGAATTAAATAAAAGAAGAAGTAAAGCAAAACGATCTATTTTGAATGTGATAGGAAATGAAGAAGATAAAAACAACGAAAAATCAAATAAAAGGAATATTCAAAAACAAATATCAAATGAAGAAAATCATATTGAAAATTTAGGTGAAATCTCTGTAGATAACTGTGATAAGCTTCTAAGACATTGTGATTTTGATAAGGGTAAGTAAGTTTTATTTTTGTCTATTAATCCTATTATAGTTTTCAAATATAAATTTTCAACTAACAAACTGAAATAAAAGTTTTAAAATTCAGAGTTTGCAGAGGTAAGATGGTTCATAATGAAACCTTGTAAACTTACTATAAATATTATACAAATACCGTATATGCCTCAAATTTTAAAATACATTAATCTTGATTTTGTGCAAAATAATAATAGAACATAAATGTGTAGGGACGGTTTTTATAAGTGTGTAACTTACAATATAAGTAGGTGTAGCTAATAATACAAGAGGTATAGGTCTAGGAATACGATTGTATTATAAGTCTACTTTAATATGTTAACAAGTTTCAAACGAGGGTGATTTATTTTAAGTTTGAAGCAAGGTCTGTGGGAGCTTTAGTTCAAGTTTGTTAAAGAATTTTTGTAATTAAATCATTAAAACCTAGAGATTTTTGAATAAAACTTGATTTATTTCATAAAAATAAGTACATAATGCAGAACTTATCACCATTATACAAATGAAAGCCAAGTGCTCAGCAGCTATCTTGGAAATTTGGACAAATTTTATAAAATTTACAAGTGTCGAAATTTCTTTATAAAATCAATTAATTAATCTACGCGTAATTTATTTAATTTCTATGATTTTTGAATTTTTTATAACATCAGAAATTCTTAGCTCTTTTCATTAATTTTAATTTATTCTAGTAGGTATCAATTCAGGTAGGTTGGAACTAGATATTATAATCATAATTTAATTTATTATCTGTTGCCATTAACAGACGTTGAGTTCTATAATTTATTAATACTGTATTTAAATTTATGATTAAGCCAAATCCAGTAATTAATTTATAAGTTATTTAGATTTAATAACCGTATTATTGCAATGTGAAACTCAATATTTGCAACTGAGTCTTGAAATACGAAATTTTATGATTACAATAGTTTCCAAAAAATAACACTAGAGTATTTTGTAAAATTTTGACTTTTATGTTTATTTTCTTTTTGCGCTATCTAATGGTAAAATTTTTAACTAAATTCCTTATGCATGCGTACCCATGGTTGTCAATGTTTTAAGGGAGAAACTTCAAAAGTTTTCACTTCAAAAATCTTATAATCGCTTGGTGGAATTTTATGAAATTTTCGTTTCTCAAAATCCTGAAAGGATTTTAAATTAACTACAAAGTGTACACATTATCTTTATATAAAATACAAAAATAACAAAATGGCATCATTATGTGGACGAGTTTTAAGTGGATTATCTAGAAAAAATGTTACATCATACACTGCTATTAGAACCTGCAAAATGATGAACGACCCCATTGAACATGCAACTGGCATTGAAAAACGTGAACTTTTGGCAAAACAAGCTGGTAATGATAATCCATTTGATATGAAGGTATTCAAAAGGGGTGCTGGTTCCAAAGACAGTCCAAATTTAATTCCATCAGCTTTTGATGCACGTTTGGTTGGATGTATATGTGAAGAGGATCAAACATATGTACAGTGGATGTGGTTATCTAAAGGAACACCAAAACGCTGTGAATGTGGCCATTGGTTCAAATTAGTTGAAAAGGCACCTGTATAAAAAATATTTTGTTAGTGTTTATTAAATTCAACATTTGTAGAAAATGTCAAGAGTCATAATTATAAAATAAAAACTTAAAACTTGAGAGACGAAATAAATTAAATATTGAAGCGAAAAAGTTGAAATAAAAATATGTAGATTTGTTTTTGGAGCATTTTAATATTCCATAATAAAACTTAGAAAAAAGAAAAATATGCTAAGAAAATAAAGAATTTATATTGAAAATTATTTCAGAGGTTAGTTGAGGTCACAATTACTTTCTCATATATTCTTTTTTTCTTTCTAAATTTTTAAAATTTTATCTATCAATTTGTATATATATAATCTTTGTACATACATATATACACACATAAACGCATGCATAAAATCGCACGTAAGAACAGTATTTCTGTAGGCAACAACCAACATATGTAGGTACTTACATTTCCCTTTAAGAAAAATTGCAAGGGAAGTTTCTTGTGCATTTAGCTAGCTTTGTTGATACACATATGTATGTAGGTATATATGTGACTATAACCATATCTACAAAGATAATTCAAATTTTCGATAAGAGCAATAGTTTACCATATATATGGGTAGGTAATATTGATACTTGTTAATGCACATAATTGAAATCTAAACTTGATAGACCCTACGGAAAATGATCTAAATTCTGTATATATATTTTGATCACCCTCTATTTAAACATATTATAATACCTACATTCGAATTAAGAGGATAACAGAATTAATTTAACATATGTACTAACTATTTGCACATGATGTGTAGATCCTAAAATAATTAAAATTTGAAATAATTAAATCATTTTTTATTTTCAGCAACAAAAAAAGTTAACAATAATTTACCTAATAAATCTAAACCCAATTCTTATAAATGTACGAATAAATCAGTAACAAATTTGAATGGTGTCCAAATTTCATTAATTAGCCTGAACGACACAGAGGAAAATGTAGAAAAATCTCTAAGGTCTTTAAATGAAAGTGCAAATGCTACCGCTAGAAAAGAAGTAGAATTTGTTTTAGAAAAATCCTTAACTAAAATAGGAAAAACTGTATGGGAATTTGAAGATCATTGCAATAATCTATCTATTTTAGAAGACTTAAACTCAGACCAAAATAATGAATTAATAAGCCAAAGTTTACAAATAATTGAACATACTTATAATTCAATTTTAGAAAATGCTGAAATACCGACAGCAGATATTTGTGAAAAATTCAATAGTATAGAAAAAAGTTTAGATAACTTAATATCCAACAGTCAAAATAGCAATTCACAATTAAATTCAATACAAACTACTGAGGAAAACCTATCTAATCCTGATAAAGTCGTAAACTCATTCGATAATTTTAAAATTTCAGATGATATTGCAATTGATAAGAATTCAAATACTGAATCAAATAAAAGAAATGTTAACGTTTTTGAAAACAATGTATTTATAAATAAGTTGAAATTTTTACAAAATTGCCTTGCAATTAATAATGAAGTAAGAAGAAGAAGTCTTCCTGTAGAGAAAATAAAAAATGTGAATGGGCTAGCTCGAAGTAATTCAACTAATACAATTAGGAATGCTAATTTTATTGGAGAAAGCTCAAATTTTTTAAAAGGAAGTGAAAATATGGAAAAAAACTCTACAAAAGATTCTGTTACTCAATATAATAGAAGTTTGCCTACTCCGTTGACAAATAATTTTCTTCCATTGAGAAAATCTTTAATTTGCTCTGCAACTTTTTTTAATAGTAATGAAATTGCTTCAACAGGAAGCTCATATGAAAATAGTGCACGAGACTCAACATCGGCTTGTGTGAATGTAAATAAATCAAATGAAGTTCCAGGCGATCCTGGCCCAACATCTGATGTCATAATGAGTGTTGCTGATAATATTTCGGAAGATCAGCAGGTAGAAAAATTTGCGAATGAAATTGAGTTACATTTGATGCCATCAAAAAGTATAACGAATTTAAATTCAAATCATGAATGTAATAGACCTGTAATAATTCAGAACATTCAAATCGTACCCCCTCAAATAACTTCGTCCACCTCTGCAAATGTGAGTGCAACAGAAAACTCTTATGACACAAAGTATGACGAAAGAAGAATTGAAACGAGGCGACATAATTCCAATAAAAAGCGGAATATATCAAAATTCGATAATGAAATGTTAAATTCTCTGCCAGATGATAAAGGTGTGGAAAATATTTCGATAGATGACAAAAATATATCCAAACTTTCAGCTTCTACAAGTAGCATTAACAGATCTTTAAAAACAAAGAAAAAACAATCGTCAGTTTCAAATAAAAAATTATTACGATCGCGCTCATTGAATGTTGAAAAAATTAAGAAAAGCTGTGTCAAAAGAACGACTAGCAATATTGCAGAGCTCTATTCTAATAAACGAAAATCTCAATATAATGTGCAAATTCAAGGCGAAAATAAAAAATTAGTTTTAGACGATACAAACCATAAGAAATTATTTAATTCAAAAAATTTAGATGATAGAAAATTGGGAACTCAAAATGAAGGACGTAAAAATTCAAAATTTATTGGACCAGCCCAAAACAATGAAAAGTCTGATGTAAACGAAAAACGCGCTCCAAGACAAAAATTTTCTTTAAAAAATAATGCAAAAATGAATCAAAAATCTGATCTTATACAATCGAAAGAAAGAAGTTCAATAATGGATATAGTTTCGGAACCGGAAGAAGAATCCAAAAACCAATCTCTCGGGGAGACATCGTTCAATATTGTGGAAAATGTAGCACAAAGCGGAAAAATCCAAATTGTGGTGGGAGATGAAAAATTACAAAATTCAGATGAAAGCTTTTGTAAGCCGGAATCGAAAATTCGAAATAAGGAAAAGAATACAAAAACAATTGAGACAGCGCCACCTAATGAAGCACAACACCAAAATCAAAAACCAACACCAAATCAAGAAGAAGAAAGTTCAATAATTGATTTGACCACAGAATGCAACGCAAAAATAACGAATTCAAAAAATTCTCTTAACAACTTAAATCAAAATAGAAAATCTTTTGGAAAAAATGTCCGAATGACAAGATTAAGAGCCCGTTCATTAAAAAATCATAATATGAGAAGAAAATCTATTTGTAGAACCCCACGTATTTCAAAAGTCGGAAATAACAGTCGAAAAACCTTTAGTCTTATAGAAAATCAAAAAGAAAATAACTTACAACCTTTAGATAAGATGAACAATCCAATATCAGCCAATTTGCATAATTTAGATAAAAGTTTATCTAATGTAAAATCACAAAACAAAAAGAAGATAAAACCTTCAGAAGTAGATAAAAATGAAAAGAGATCTAATATTCATGAAAGGCGAAATTCAAGGCAGAAAAAATATTCTATTGGAAATACTAACCAAGAAACGGGTTCACAAAAAAATTTGAATAATGAATCTATGAACATATCAGATCAAAATAGGAAGTCATTGAGAAAAAATATTCGGACAACAAGATTAAAATTACGTTCTTTAAAAGTTGATAATTCGAAAGAAGAGTCTCCCAGCAAACCGGCGTGCGACACCTCAAAATTTAAGACTAATAAAATTAAAACTAAAAATTATGTAGAAATCACAAAAGTACAAAATGTTTCAGATGAATTAATAGCAGAAAAATTAAATGAAAATCGAGAAAAATCCATGCATTATAATGAAACAATTGTTTATGTTAGTCCTGAAGTTCTTCAATATCGCAAAGTAAGACATAGAAGTTTAAAATTACGAAAATGTTTAGCTAATTCAAAAGTCCGATCCTTAGACAAAGTGAAAAGGTCAGATATTCAAAGGTCAATTACTTCTGAAACGAAATTAAAAAATAATCCAAAAGATACTCCTAGAAAACTTCTCAAAAGAAAACAAAACAAAATTGCTTTAAAAAGAGACAAGAAAATTGAATGTATTACAACATCAAGAAATTCAATTGAAAAAAATTCTGCCGATGAAAAACAATTATCAGATTTCTTGGAGATATCCAAAGAAAGAGAAGAAAATAAAAAATTTCCAACGCTTAGAAAATGTAAAGTTTCAATTAAAAAAGAAAAATATAAGCAAAACAGTGTAATAAAAAATTCGTTACACTCAAACTATGAACCATTAAATAATAATATTTTACAGACTTCTGATATGAAAAGAATATCCGAAACAATAACTCAACGCGAATCAATAAAACAGAAAAATTCTTCACAAATCAATAATAAACCATCACAATTATTTATATTAGGAAATTCAGAAGAATTTATTGAAATGGATTCTAATAAAAATTCAGAAATTCAAGTTAATAAATCATTAAATGTAGAAGATTCTAAATGTATTTCAGTTACTAATTCTAATAATACAGTACAATTGAATTTAACTAAAGATGATTCAGTTGTAGATATAGCATTTGATCGTGATGAATTTATAAAAAATATTGAAAATTATGAAATAAAAACATTTTCACGTCCACCCACATTGGGATTACGGCATCAGTCATTACCAAAACGTGGTACACTAGTTAATTTAACAAATCATGTAACCCATAGAAGTTTAATTAATGATAAAAAATCAAATCATAATTCTATACATAAAAAATCTTTAATATATCAAACATTATATGAAGAAGTTGACATGACCAATGATATATCAAATCATAACGGTGATAATGAACGTACAATAAACGACTCTAAGGTTCAAATTATACTACCACCTGGTAAATGGAGAAGAAGTTTATGTGCATGGAAAAAAAATTCAATATCATTATCAGGTATGTACGTAAGGTTTTCTCAGATTTATTAATTTTTTACAAATACATTTTAAAACGAAAATTCTAATTATGCATATTGCCAAATTCGTAATATCCTTCATTTTTAAAACAAAAAAGTAAAGTAATCTATTTCCGAAAAGTAATCTATTTCATTTTATCCTTGAATTAAAGTTTATACATATCTATTTTTGCTTTAACTCTGAAATTTCAATTTTTTAATTGAAGATAATGAAGGTATTGTTATAAACCTGAATTTGATAATTTTCGAATTTCGATAATTGTCGAATTTTTGTGAGAAAAAAATCTTACATATGTTTTTGAAATTAATTTCAATTTGACAATAGTAAATTTAATTTATATAAAATTTTATTTATTATTTATTTAAACAATTTAATTTTTACTAAAACATTAGTTACAAAAATAACAAAAATATAAAAAAATAATAAAAAAAAAATACGTTTACATAGGTAAAGGAAATTCTAATGAAAGAGAAAAGATCGAATTGAAGGAGCATCAATTTCAAATGAGCAAAAATGTGGAAATTTTAAATAAAAAAAACAATAATTCAAAAGTTTTAGCTCAAAATCAAACTTTATCATTAGATGCATCCAAATCGATTAACTTAACGACAGAAATTAATGAAACAACATTAAGAAATTCGTCTATCGTAAGTAGAATTTAATTATAATAAAGAATTTTTTAATTAAATATCAAATTTTATAATTTTAAATTTTTGTTCTTTTCGGTTAATTAATCTGAATGTAATCTATCAAAGAGAGGAAATAAAATCAATAATTTCAATGTATCACAAGGGCATCAATTACCTATTTTAAGAAAAAGTAAGTCAAATTTATTTTTTTTTTGTAAATTTTGTTATTGTATTTTATTGTAAAATATAAAATAATTTGTTTCGTTTTTTTTATATATATATGAACTATGTATTTATCGCCCGTATTATTGAAATTATTTTTCCAATATAATCAATTGAAATTCTTTAATTCATTTATAACAATTTTTTAATTTTAATATCTTAATAATACCAGCATTATATAAAAATATATTATGTATAACCTTCCAATTAGATATTGTACTTTAAAAATACATTTTGTAAGATTATGCGTTTTTTGCCGGATTTTGTTTTCTTTTAGATTTTCAAAATATAATTTTAATGGGATGGGATGAAGAAAATGTTTTTATATATGTAGATTGTTTAAATATTAGGGTGATATATTTGATCATTGACTGAAATTTCTTGTTAATATAAATTAGGTTTAAAAAATCGAATTCAATTTAAAGATATCGCTTTTATAATTAATTGTATACATATTATAAAAGTGATATTGTAAAATATAAGTTGAAATATGTAATATTTAAAAATAATGCAATATTTTATTACCAGTTCATTTCAGTTATTATAATTAAAAATATTTTCTATAATATTTTACAAGATATTTGTATGATTAAGTTTATTCTTCAATTTTTATGTCTAAAATTACAAGGATTTTTTTTTTAAATTTTAATTGATGTTATTGCAAAATAGAGCTTGAATTAATTTTTTAATCATTCGTTTTGCTTCATTCCGAATGATTGTCCAATTAAGTTCCTTTATAGTTACCATTAAAATTCTAATTTTCTTATTGAAGTTATCATGAGAAATTCTACTAATAATGACAAATTTACCATGATCTGATTTTATTATATATATTTATGTAAGAATTAAAAGGTTAAAATTTCAATATTAAAGGTCAAAATATAAAAAGTCGTCTTATATATGCAAATAATTCTAAAATAGAAAAATTTTCCCATTGCAATCTTTAATGACAATATATGTATATATATTTTTTTTTTAAAAAAGTTTTAAATATATCTAACAATATCCATAAAATAAAATAATATAAATCACTATTGAAATTAGATAAAAGCAAGACAAAAAAAAAAAATAAAGAAGATTCATATAAAATAAATTTTTAACTTAAATTTCTTTAAAATGGTATTACGGTGATATTGTAAACTGCTTGACTTCCTTCTTATTCTTTTTGGTATTATTTTTTCTACTGCTAAATCTCTTCTAGATATTTTTATCCTCCCACTCTTTCGCAAGAATAAATTGTCTTCCCTTTTAAATTCTAATACTTATTTTGATTTTTATATTATAACAAAAAAAAAAAACAACGATCTTATTTGAACTCATGGTCTTTGTGTTTTTTTTTTGGTGTAACATCTATTCTTGTATAAAATATGGAGAAAAAGAAAGTAAGAAAAAAAATCTATTTTTTTTTTTGCTAATTCTAAAATAACATAAGAGTTTTTACTTACGTGAATATACATATATATATATATATATATATATATACATGTATGTATATATATTTTGAAATCATTAATTTTACTCTGATGTAGATTCAAAAAAGAATCAAAGAACAGAAATAGAGCTGATACTAAAGATTCTTCTTATTCGTTTTTATATAACAAAATCAAATTCTAATAAGAGAAGCGAAAAAATACAAAAAAAAAAAAATTATAAAATAAAATAAAAATTTAGAAAAAGAAATCACGCTGCAAATGATGACGATCAGAAATTATTCGAATAAAAATCCAAAAAAAAAAAAAATAATAAAAAACTAGAAAATAAAATAGATCACGTAAAACGAGAAAATAAAAGAGAAAAATTGGAAAATATACCAACAGGTATGACTTAAAACGTGGAAGTTAGCGTATCTTTAAAGAAACAAAAAAAAAAAAATAAATAAAAAGGGTAAAATAAATCAATGGTACAAAAAAAAAAATGAACTTTACATTTAAGCACATACACATCCGTGCACATAAAATACATATATATATATATATAATGCTAGAATATACATCATACATAGGATTGTATCTGAAAATACGAATACAAAAATTGTGTTAGGATCAGAAAATTGAACATCATTTTAATCAAATAGAGTTACCAATTGTATAGATTCTAAAAATTAGCGTTATTTACTAAACAATGATTTTTTAATATTGAAAATTTTAATGTTCTTTTAAGATTTAAGATCTTAAATTTTTTAAATTTTGTAGTCTATGTATTCTGTTTTTTGATAGTTGTACAAAAAAAATCTTCTAATAGAACGACATAATCAATCGGAGCGGTACGTTTTTCAACCTTATTTTCATTTGCATTTATAATGTTATCGAAAAAATGTTTATACATGTGAATAAATGACGTATTGCCCTTCTTATTTGTTAACTTTTTTTGTGTTACCTCAATTTATTTTTGTATATTTAATGATCTACGCCAAACTAATAAAATGCGTTCGATTTTTGCATTATTCGTCTTAAAGGTATCATAAATTCTTAATTCTCGTTAATTTTTATTATATTATTTTTCTAGGTTAGTATCTTCTTTCTTAATAAATTTATAAGCACACTTTATTTAAACAACTCACATTTTAATTACTTAACTTTCTAAAAATTTTAATATTTTTCGAATAATTTTGAGATGAAATTTTAGAGGTACACTATAATTTTCTAATGTTTGTACGTTTTTTTCCAAATTATTATTAAAAATTTTCTTAAAATTATTTCTCTAATCGTGAGAATTCGGTGCTCATATATTGTTATTTAAAACTATATAGCCATCTGTTATCCTATTGTTGAAATAAAATTATGAATAATTATAATTAAAATATTTAAATAAAAAATTGACCTCAAATTTATTTACGTATATGTATACTTTTGTATATGCAAAATTCTCATTAAATTGTTATCAAAAACATTATTTTGCCAAAGTTGTTGTAGCCGATCGAGGCATACATCTGTTCTTTATTATCAGATTTCAACTTAAATACCTATTTTACCTAATATAATTACTTTTGCTCAACTCCTGATTGAATGATTCTTGCTTCTTGATCGGTTAGTTGGTCGACAAATATGATGTACCCCAATTAGTAAAAATGTGCTGCAAGCCTCTACTTTTATAACAAAACAAAATTTTTAAGAGAAAAATTTTATCAGAATTATCAGGAAAATCAGATAATCATCTAATTTATCAGAAAAATTTTGAGAAATTTTTGAACACTATGGTAACTTTAACAGTTAGCAAAATAAAGAAAAAAAAAACTTAAGAATAAAATAAAAAAAAAGAAATAATGATGATGGTCTTAGTTTGAAATTGGAAAAAAAATGACTTTTGTGATTTTTTCTCATTTTTTTTTTCTTGTTTTCTGGCTTCATTCGCCCTTTTACAAAAAAAAAAAAACCGAAGAAGTATTCGATTCTTGAAGTAAAAAATTAAATTTAATCGAAGGAACAAAATAAGAATAATAAGAAGAAAAAATTGAACTTACGAACGTTAAGAAAATAATTTTGTAGGTATACAGAAAATGATCTTGAATTTTGTTGTATGTACCCGTACCTTTAAAAACCTAAATGTTTGAATGTATATTCGTATTTTATATATGTTAAGTTTATTCATGTCTCTAGTACTTATAAAATACACTTAACATGCTCCTATTTTAGATTTAGTTTGTTTTCATCATATAAACACATACACATTTTATATACATTTTATATACATACATATACATTTTGTGTACATATATATAAATTCACCTTTATTAATGTCAGTGTATATTTTAGTTCATCTATAAAGCAGGTGAGATTTAAATTCATTTAAGAAAAAAATAAATGTTCAAAGAAGGAAGATAGTTAAAAAAAAAATAAGTACATACATTAATTGTATATGTATATGGAATGGTGTATGTAAATTGTAATATGCACAAGTATGTATGTATGTATAAATGTGTGTATATTCAATTTATATAAAAAAAAAAATAAAATAAGGAAGACAAGAAAGATTCTTTAAAGAAAATATGTAAAAATAAAGAATTACAAAAAAAAAAAAATGTAATGAAAGGAAGTTAGAGAAAGATGGCTTGCTAAAATGATGATGTATTTTAAGTTTATAATGGTTTTTTTTTTTTTTTTACCATTTAACATTTTATATAAGTAACTATTATTGCTATTATTTTTGTTACTATAGCTCTTGTAGCTAGCGTTACTTTTATATTTTTTTTTTTCGAAATATTATTTATATCTTCATCTAAACTTATACTTATATTTGATATTGTTATACAAGTATGTATATATATATATGCAATATTATAATATATTTCTTTGTAATAAATAGAATTAATGTCGGATTAATATTGTTTGAAGTTGATGGTGATGATGATTTTTTGTCAGAATATTTATATATGTAATTAGAATTTTTTTTTTTTGTATTTTTTCTTATTTCTATTTTATTCTCATCTTCTATATGTTATTTATGTATGTAAGTACTTGTTTTTTTCCCTTTATATATACTTACATACATTTTTCAGAAATTTGGTTTTAATTTCTTTTTTTTTTTCGGTTTTCCTTTTCTAGAATTTCTTTTAATTTGAAAATAATAAAAGCAATGAGTTTTAAAAAACAAAAAAAATTAAAAAATTCGTGAAAAAATGGTAAAACTATGAATCGATAGAATTTTTTTTTTTATAAAATATCTACAAAATATAAATTACAAAAAAAAAAAATTGCCTCTATTTCGTTATTTAATAAAAATTTATAAGTATATACGTTTGTATATATGTATGTAGAAGCTGATCATGATATTCAATAAAATTGTTATGCAAATGTAATTTAAGAATTAGGGGATAGAAAGATCGAGGTAGTTGATAAAATCAGCAAATTTCCATTTTAGTGTCTGATTAAATACTAAAAGGCTAAGTTACTTAAATAATATATTTTTCAATGACCTATAATATACTGGGTTATTGTATGTTGCTCTGGGTCGGACAATACCTAAAAAAACGATGAACTTTTGACTGTTATCCCTCCTCCCTTAACTACTTTATAACTTTATTTTCAAATTTAATGCAATTTTTATTTTAATTTTCAAGAGTGTAGAAATAAATGTATATAATAGAAAAATTTCCAATTTTGATTCTGGATTATTAGAGTTCATGCCTAAAAAAATTTAAATTTAAAATTGCAACAAATGAAAAATAATTACCACATGTATATTCGAAGAGAAGAAAAAAATATTAGATGTTCTATTCATTTAATTGAAAAAAAGAAATGAAGGATTCAATAAAGTAGAATTTAATTAATATTAGACGTGACCATATCTTTTTAAGTATTGTACATTTTATTAATACGTGATGCTGATGCGTTGTTAATTTTTATTAGCAATTAGTCTTCAAATATAATTTTTTTAAAATAATATTTTTTTTTGTATTAAACTCCTAAATTTCTTTTCTCCTAAATTTCATAATATAAATTTTAATATCTGTATACACATGTGTTCTAATTTTCATTAAATAATTCATGTTAATTTTTTGATTTATTAATAATTATAAGAAATGGTTGCTCTCATAATTGTTAGTTGGTTGTTCAACTTTGAAAGACACTTCAAAAACCTACTGTCAATCTTTGTATCAGGTATAAATTATATAAATGTGTTAGAGAAAGTATTACGAATTTAAATAATGTTTTCGAATTCAAGGTTGAAAGCCGAATTCCGAATATTTCAAAAATTATATTTTTTGCATTCGATTTGTATTAAATATAGGTAATAAACTCTTATTATGGCGTTACTCAAATCAATTAAATTATATATTTTTCAATAAAAGCAATTAATAATAACCAACTAAATGCTTCTATAATTAATTCAATTATTTTAGAAATTTTATATTCACAAGCTAGCTGCTCATCAAAATCCAATCAAAAAAAATCATTGAACGTAAATATTTTATCTCTGCAAAATATCAGGTAAGCCGGTATTCGAATCAAATGTGTTTTTTTTTTTTGTTTTAGCCGTTTCCTTTTTAGTAATTACTGAGATCGAATTCAAAATTTTCTAATTTCATCTTATACTTTATTTTCTAACTTCATCTCATACCATCAAAATCAAACATTTTTTTTTTCTAAAATGTTCAACGAAACCAAAGAAAAAAAAAAGACTGTAGAATTTTGCGTTCATTCACCTGCTTATAAAATAATTTCCTTTGGTTTTCTGAAGTCAAAAAAAGAAAAAAAAAATATTTTCATTCTTCTCTTTGCTTGTTGGTACAAAAAAAAAACTGAAATTCTTCTTCTTGCTCTCATGACTTAACACAATACCAAAATGTAATTCTCAGGTAAAATCAAGTCATGCTCAAGCCTACTAACAGAGTAATAGCCAAAGTTTCTTAAGGTGAAGAACGAAAAAAGCAAAAAAAAAAAAAAAAACTAAAAAGAAAAATATAATAATAATAAAATGTGAGGCAAGTAAGCGAGCAGGCAAAAGTAACTAACTATAAGAAAGCAAGAAAGCGAGCAAAGAGCAAAAAACAAAAAAAATTAAAAATGGCTTAAAACAAAAACATTTTTTTTTAATTTTTTTCAGTTTTTGCTCTTAATATATTAAACTTGTATAGTATACTGGGTGATTCAGCTGAAATTGCTGTTTTTAAATGTAAGTGCTATGTGAAAGGCTTTAATTTTGGAATATATTAAAAAATATTTTATTTTTTTTTTTTGGAAAACATGTGGTAATGCACTTAATAAAAGTGCATAAGGTGAAATTTGTAGATGAGTCTCGAATAAAGATCTGCATTCTATATAGACTGAAGATTTCTATATATGTAGTTGCTAGTTTGTTGCAAATTCACGTAGACTTTTATATACCAGATGTAATCAACTCATATGACCATAAATTGTTTCTTACAGAATACCTACATAGAAATTGATATCTTAGGCATAACAGTTACTGTTGTCACAGCATGATTCAGTTCATTGTAGCACAACACCCTTGCGCACATGTATAGTTTCTTTATATTTACATAAACACACACAATATAAATAATATTGTATTTATGTACAAACATACTTACATATACATATTTTTTTTTTTTATTAACTGCCGGTCAATTTACAATTATGTTTTAGAATACTTGTTGTTGTTGAGTTTGAATTCAAACGTTAATTCAAAAAAAAAGAACCAGAGAAGAAAAATAAAAAAAAAAAAGTTATTTTCTTACTTTTTGGTACCTTTTTGGTTATGGTACGTTATGCTTTTATTATTATTATATATGGTGGTAAAAGGTGAGAAAAGTCAATTTTTTTTTTCTGTATTTTGCGCTCAACTCTTTACATTTCTTTTCTCTTTTTCTTTTTATTTTTAATTTGTTTTATTAGTTTAATTTCAAAGAAAATGTTCTCTATCTATTCTTTTATATGACGGTTTATATTCTCGTACATATATTATTATTATTTTATATTTTTTTAAAAAAGAGGAAGAAAAAAAAGAATATTATTTTTGAGATAATATACAATTTCATGTATCAAGAAGAGCTTGGAGTTCAAAATCCCGCCATATTCAAACAACAAGCATGTAATATGTTGTTGTATTTATATTTATTATTGTATGTGCTTGTATACGAGTATATATGTATATAATAAAAATTGTATAAGATTTGGCAAAAATAATTCACAAGTGAATATAAGTGAATCAACTTTTTTCTTTGTTTTTTTTTTTTATTTTTGCCTTATTTAAAGTAAAATTTAAAAATAACAATTTTTTTTTTTTGGATTTTTGTGGCCCTATGCATGAACATAGAACAATAGTAATAAAAAAAAAAAGTCACCACCAATTTTTTGTTTTTTGAAAATTAAGTTTCCGTAGATTTTCTTAAAATAATTTTTATTGTTTTTTTCTTTTTTTGCCTAAAAGTTGATTAACCTCTTGTGTACCAATTGTTACCTCGTGTGTACCAATTACAAAATTTAACTAGATTATAATTGCTTTTAATAATTTTTCTTTTAATATATACAACGAAGTAGAGCTAAAAATGAGAAAAATGAAAATTCTTAAATGCTGGTAAACAATTAAATAATTTTGGAAACATTGTTATAAAATGTACTTTTTTAAGATTTCTCATGTTAACGAATTGAGTGTGATTGTTCAGAGTTGATTGTTTCTCTTTGTTCCAAAAAAAGTTTATAGAGCGCAGGAGCTGATATATAATTGTGATTACCGACAATTTTTAATCAATTTTAGTCACACAATATTTAGTAATTTTTGTTTTTAGTACATTATACAAAATAAAATTCAGTCTAAATGAAAATTTTTACGAATACTCGTATTTCAAATATTTTGTGTTTTTTTTTTGTATGATTATTTATGACTTTATTGGTCAGTTTTGATTGTTTGTAAATTGTTTCCCTATATAAATTTGTTATTAAAGAAGAATTATGTGTATTTTTCGTAGTTATATGCAGCTGAACTCTTACGACTTAGGCCAATACGATTTCCAAACTAAATTTCTGTAGATTAAGGCGTATTTCATTTCTCATTTAATTGAATTTGATTTTTTTTTCAATTTTCTTTAAAAAAAAAACAAAAATATTCACATTGAACTGAAAGTTTCATAATTGTTGACATGTTAAACAATGCTGAACAACGTATTCAATTCTTCACGTTTATAGCTACTACATATACCTGTTGAACGTATAATAACCTAGTGGGTTAATTCTGAATTTGTGTTGTTATTTAAAAAAAAAAAAATTTTTTTCTTAATTTTCGGGTTAAAATTAATGATGATTTCTATGTTATATTGTGTATTAAATTACCTATCTTACCTTATTTCACCTCACTTTAATTTTTGTTTTTTATTCCAACCCATATACATACTGTTTTAATTTGTTTTTTCTTCTCATTTTTTTTTCTACTTCTATAATATTTTTTTTTGTAATTTTGATGTAATTGAACCACTGTTTGTTGCTGCTGATGAAGAAGAGATTCTGATTAAAGAATTTCTTAAAAAATGTTAGAAAAATTTAAAGTTATAATTTTTTTTTTGTGTTCGTGTTTGGAGAAACTTGTTTCATTATAATGATATTAGAAAATCATAAAATGAAAGAAAACAAAAAATCATAGGTCATAGTACTATGGGTTAAAAAAACCAAAAAAAAAAAATCATAGTTATACGAGTATTCATAAAAGAAAATTAATTATGACTAATTTAATTAAGGAAATCGTTATTATTGTATATAAATTGTTACTTGCGTATAGTTCATTACTATGACTTTCTACATATGGCAAAATATTTATTTAAATAAATTCTTAATATTTTGGGGATTTCAGTTTTTTCATTCATTATAGAAGAGAAAAATACTTAAATAAAATTTATTAATTTGATTATAATATTCAAGAATATATGAAAAAAAAAAGTCTTCGCATTAAATTTTGAAATTAGTTTTTGTTTTTTTTGAAAGATTTGAATTAAATTACGGCCACTTATTCTACTTCCGAAGAAACCAGATTATTGTAAAATGAAATAAATGTTTATGTATGTTTAATGAACCTACTATAAGAGATGTCAACTAATAGATTTTTTTTTTTTTGGGAATTTGAAAAACAAAAGCTATAATTTGCTTTAATTTCTTTTCTTTCCTGTTATTTATAAAAAATTGTATAAACTTGTACGTACATATATGAATATATGTATGTATATTAATTTAATGAAATCGAAATTATGTGATTGAAATATTGTTCGATGTCAAGAACCTGAATTATTTTTGCAATAATCAAGAATTTCTTAAAAATTATTTAACAAATCTAATTGCATTTTCTATCTAATTTCAACCATAAAACTTTTTGATTACTTCAACATATTTATTTTGAAATTTTGTTTTTATATCTTTATTTTACAAGTTTTATATTAATATTTTCTAAGATCTTGTAACCCCTAGAGCTTAGGTCTTCTTTTATGTCTTCCGGTTTACAACTGGGGTGAAGATTTCTTACCATGACTTTTATTGGTCTGGCCTGCTTGTTCTTATAGGTATGCCATTCTAGTCCAGATCCATTCATGGCCCTGGTAAGATTCCTGTAGTCCATTTCGGAATTTACAATAAGCTTAAATTGATTGTTGTTCATCATTTTCACCTTATAATTGATGTCCTTATTTTTTAATGTTGACTCTATTTTATTGTAGTCAACCACATTACTTACGACTACTGGAGGCGGCCTAGAGTTTTTCGTGACATTGCCTCGACTTTTACAATCAGGAACATCCGCTTTCTCAGCGTTGGTCATCACCTGAACCACTTCCGGAGATGATTCCGCTTTTCTTTTTTTACTGGACCTCTTTTGCTTTAGGATCCAATCCGTTTCTCTGGCGAGTTCCTCCTCATCTGTTGAGTAGGCGTCCAAGACTGACCTCACCTGCTTTTCTCGTGGTGCAGCATCTTTTTCTTTATGACTGCCCACATTAGACTTATTGTTTGTAATTTGCGTATGCTTCTTTAGCTTCTCATTTTCAGCCCTCAGTTGAAGAACCTCGCTTTTCAAAGCCACACAGAGCTGTTCCAGTTGGCTAATCCTTTTGTGTATGTTAGCATTCTGATCATCACTTTCTTTGTCTTGAGCTTTACTCATGTTTAAATCCTTATTGGTCTGTGGAGCTTGAATGTTCGGTAGTCCTTCTATATTTCTATTCTTTTGTAAAATCCGCACATCAGATGTATGTAGGTGGTGAACGCCGGGTTTTCGCGTTCCTCCTGAAAAAAAAAAATATTAATATTTATTTTAATACAATATATAAAATTAATTAAATGAAATATATATGTATGGCTCTAGCAATGTTGATAAAAATCATTTAAAATTTTCTTGGAAACATTTCTCGAATTTAGTGATTTTTCTTTTTTAATGAACACGTTTAATTTATATAGTAACAAATCCGACAACGGAAAATCCTTATTATTGTTAAGTAATTTAATGTCAATAACTATGGAATAACAAGTTGGTTATAACGTGTATTCAAAAATTACAGCAGTTTCAATCACCTACTAAGATTGTCTTAATTTTACAAACTGAGAAAAACTATTCTAAATGTGTCTTAGCCGCATTTAATAAAGCAATAAATTTTATAGTTTAAAAAAAAAAAAAGATTTTTGTTATTGTAAATTTTTTTTTATTATAAAAAACTATTTTTGGATTCAAGATTATTACAATCAGTCTGCGAATTAATTAGTGATTTTTTTTTTTTATATTTTTTTAATTTGATTTAATTTGCCTTTATTGTTTTTTACACTGATGATATTACAGAATTTTTGCCTTTTATTTATTTTTCTTTGTTCACAAATTCACAAATATTTTGATTTCTGATTTGTGATTTATTTAAATGTAGAAAAATCCTAATAGTTTTAGTTTCTTCTTAATTAATTATCATTAAAAATTAGAAGTATACTTTATTGTTTTTTGAATAGAAATTTTTTTTCGTTATTTCCATTATAATAGTTTTAAGTTAAAATATAATTTTTTACTATGGATTAAAAACCAAACTTATTTTTTTTAAATAAAAATTATGTAGCTATACATTCACTTATATTCTTTTAGTCGTACCACTTGAGGTGATAGAAAATCGATGCGACTAATTGATCAAGTGATCAAATGATGCGACTAATTGAGTATAACGAATTGTTTTGCTGGCATAGTCAATTGCAAAATTATTCTAGTCAAGATTAGTCTGATTATCATTTGTATATTGCTTGTTTAAAATTAGAGTTTTGCTTCAAGTATTTTTCACCCTTCAAAGTCATATATTTTTATATTATACTTGCAAATATCTCAAAATATTGTCTTAGGTATAATGAAATATATTTAAAACCATTAGAAAAATATATAATTTTAACATTAAAATTTAGTATTATTATATTAAATTTAGCAATATTATTATGTAGTTTTCTTAAAGTTCAATGTTCTTCAAATGTTCAAAACGACCAAATATATCAAAAAAATATTGAAACAATAGCATTATTTTTCTATATACCTACATATACTTGTATGTATATATATATATTGTTATAGTTTTTCAATAAATTTAATAAAAAAGACAATATCAAGGCTTGTAAACATAAAACATTATACTAAAAATGTAGTATATACTGCAAAACCTTTTTTGGAGAAACAATCTAATTCAATATAATAATATAACAATAAATAGTTAAAGGTTGTAAAATAATAGAGAGATTTTATGCAATTTTTTGTGTTATATATACATATATACATGAAAATATAACAGAAAACATGCATAATAATATAATGTAGTAAATATTCTTTTGTTCTAACGATCTTTTATATAATAAAAACCAATATTTGATTCAAAATAATCATATATAAATAAATATATTTTTATGCTATAGTAAACAAATAAAAAAAAATTTATTTGCTATAAGATAATCAAAATACAAAAAAAAATAGATATATATACTCGTGTATATATATATTATAAATGAAAAGAAAAGATGGCAAACATTATTTTTCTAATAGTTAAGAGCTTGGATGCGAAACACTATAAACAACAAATTAGAAAACCAAAATCTAATTAGAGAAGAAGAAAACGTATACAATTATAAAAAGTTAAAATAGCATGGCATAAAAAAGATCCCTTATAAGATCTTTGAAAACAACATGGATATACCAGTTAGTTACCAATAGCAACAATATACCAATATTATCATATTTTTTTTTTCATTTTTTTGTGTAGCTGTACATATTTTGTTTGATGAGTTAGGTATTATAAATTTATCTTCGCGTTAATAATATGGCCCGTTTCTCAGTATATTGAATGAGTGCATCTGACGTTAATCATGAATTCCAATGGGGCATAACATACGCTTCATAAATTCCAATATAATGTAAGTTGCCAAAGCAACTCATTTTTATTTTAGTTTTTTTTTTTTTTTGTATTTCTTTAAAGGTTGATGCATAAAAGATTTTTATAGTATGTTATGTGATAAAATGAATAATGAAGAAAACATTTTAATTTTGAAATATTTAATTTTCCGCTTTATTGAAATAATTTTTAAAATGTTACTTGCGAAAATTGTTTAATTGCAAATGATTGTTATTTGCAAAATCAAACGAATGACATGATTAATATGTTCGTCAAAACTTTGACATACTATGAAACGGTCTACAACAATAAGGCAATTATTAATTTTTATCAAGTATTTGTAATATATATTTAGAAAATCATTTAAGACAATTTTAAAAGTATATTTTTTGACACGTACTTTTTTTGCATACTTTTAGGCAAATTTAAATTTTTGTTTCAAATTTAAATAATTTAACCTAACGATTCGATCTTCATTTTTAATATTTATTATTTAAAATCGTTTTTAAAATTATTTTTTTAATGAAATTATTAAATGTGTGTTATATATGTACATAATGCACAAATTAAAATGAAATTTTTCCAAAAGCTTAGTGGTATGAAGATCATATTCTATAATAATGTCAATTAACTGATAGTTGTCCCATTCAATTTTACTATCTGCAATCGTTTTTTTTTTATATTATAATATGTATGTAGGTATAGTCTACCAAAGTAGATATGTATGTGTTTTTGCATGTATTTGTATTTCTTTTTTTTTCTTTTAAGTCATTTATAATCCTTCCATATTTCCTTTGATCCACAAGTTCACCATCAAGTTTTTCTTCGTTGTTACATTTGTGTTTTGCTGTTTTAGTTTCTGTTTTTTTTTTTCATGAAATTTTCTTTTATAACTGATATTACCTTGTTACAATTGCTTTAGTATAAAAATATACATGTGCATACTACATTTATAATGTTCCATCTATGAATGTATAGTTACACTATTTTATGTTGATTTTTGTTGATTCTATGCAAGCATAATATTATATATCGGGATACAAACATATATTTTTTGTTCCCATACATTTACCTTCATATATTCCAATATATATTCATATATATATACGTATACATATATACATAAATATAATAGTTTTTTTTTTTTTTTTAGAAATTCCAATATATTTTCTTTGTTCCTTTGTTTATAGCAATTTTTCCGTGATTTCATTTTATTACATAAAGGAAAAAGAAAACTACTTTAATATAAAAATAATAGTAAAACACAACATAGAAATAAAGACAAAAAGTTTGTCGATGCGATTTCTAAAATAGAAAAGAAAAAAAAATTTTTTTTTTTTGCAATTTAATTATATGTTTATGTTCAAATGTTTGTAAATGTATCTTATGACAAAAGTTTCGTTTTAAATTATATTAACGCGCTATTCTGACAGTTATTAGCGCGTATATTAAATTTTTAAATTACTATATAATTAAACAAATAGTTTTCTGATACTACTGTACTGAATAATAATTATTCGGTAATGAAATTTTTATTTCAGAAAAATATTAATCAAATTTATAATATATAATAAAATTTCAAAATTGAGGTAATATTATGTCAACAAAATTTATTTTAGTTAAAATTAACGATGCTCAATTTATAGTGACAGATTTTTTTGCCTGAAGACTCTAAAAAAAACTGTCTATATGCTACGTATTATGACTGTATTCATTTTTATACAACGCACAATTATAAGTTCATACGACTATTTCATTTAATTTTTTTTCAAAAAAAAATATGACATACATATATGTAAGTATTTTATACGTTAATAATACATTATACATGAATGCGTGATACATTTTAACTATAAAAATTTTCGCAATTATTTTAGCGTCACATGTCATACTGCACATTTTTCTGACAGGTTTTAAGAATATCATTTGATTTTGATAGCACATGAGCTTCGTCAAAAATTGACATTTAATATTTACATACAAAGGGTTATATTAAATACATTTTTAAAAATAATGTTGTTTTTCGTAACAAACGAGTATAATTTTTTTTTTTTTGAAAATATCAAATTAAAAACTCTACCTCATACAAAAATTTGGCAGCAATTTTTGCTTTCAAGCAGAAATGAAAAAACTTATGCATATACTTACATTATGTAGATGTATATACATATTTAAATAAACACTCATACACATCAAAAGTGTTCGTGAGAATAAAAACTGTTCTCAAATTACTCTTATCAAAGAAATGTATACATACACACGTTTTTTTGCTTTTATAAAATACAAAATAGATCTGGACATTGAGAGAAGAAAAAGTAATATAAAGAGACTTTAGTTGAATAAGTTTTTGAATTATAACAAGTCCTTGCATAATTGCGGGACAAAATTCTAAACTGTGTGTGTGTAGTTGTAAAATTTTTAAGTAAGCGATATGATAGCGAACAAAATATGATAGAAATATTACTTTTAATATAATTGGGCAGGGATTTTAAAATAAATTTCAGCATGATAATAAACTATCAAAGTTTTTAAAATGAGAGCGCAAAAAACAATGTCCCGATCTAGATTTTTTTGTAATGTCATAATTTTATACACTATACGAGATGTTATTTCTTCGTTCATTATAATTTGGGCATATAGTTTTGTATATAATAATATGTACGACATATAATTATAATTACAGCGAAAAAAGAAAAACAAATT